CTTGTCTGCAAAGCAGCTCATAATTTAGACGGTAAAGAACGCAGGTCCGTCCACACGCTGACTCTTGATGGAACGAAGACGACCGGCCAAATCAGAAGAATACACATGCGTGTGCGTACCGTGACTTTGATGCCTCACCCCTCTGAGGAGATGTGTCTCAACTTCAGCCTCCCAATTTGTGCCGCATTGAGCAATGCTAAGAAACACGCCGCGCGTCCGCCATCTAGAGTTCACCGTACCATGCGGTTATGTAGAGGGCGATCGTGCGAACTCGCTGCGATGTCAACTTCCAAAGCATGTGGACTCGCTGTGATGTCAACTTCCAAAGCACGTGGACGTTGTGCATTGCAATGACATCGGAGCCGAAACTCGCCTACGGTGTACAACTAACAGTAGGCAAGATCGGGGTTACTACAAGAGCCCGGAATAAACGCTTGCGGCTCATTGGGCAGCTCGATGTTGTAGATCTGGGCCGAAGGATCAAGCACATGGTCGATAATGTGGACCACGCCCTTCCAAACCCCGAACGAGCAAAAATGAGTCAGCACTCGAGATGCCAGGCAAAGATATTCGAAGCCGCAGCTGTTGTAAGTGGACTCACCCTTGTGATGTTGTTGTCTGGACCAGTGACTTTTGCGACATCGTTCAGGACGATGCTTCCTCCCGAGGTTTTGACACCAATGTACTGGTATGTCGAAGTCTGGATACGGGTCTCGGTCGCATTGAAGGATGTCGACTTCAGCTCCGTGTTGGGCACGTAGTGGCTCATGATCTGATTCCCGAACCACCATTTGCCTCGAGGTGTTGCCAGAAAAGATCGATAGTATTCGCCCAGATTCTCGAAGGCATCGTTGCTGGGAGCAAAGAAGGTGAAGGCCCACGTCGGCTCGGTTTGAAAGGCCTTCTCGAAACCTGCGGGGAAGGACGCGATCAGCTTCATGAGCACTTTCACGGCCACTCGAGCCATACTCACCGGCGCTCTGCTGCAAATGACCGAGCAAGGTGCTCAGTTCGGGTCGGCTTTTGACGAAATCGAGCAGAGTTGTCGTCGACATGTTGGTTGGTGCGACGTAGACGTCTTGAGGCTCGGGAGCGTAGCTGAGCGGACGCCTGGAGGTCGACCGGGCGCCGACGAGGCTGGCAGCCAACGCCAAGAGTGCGATAGAAGCTTTGAGCATGTTGTTGTAAACAGAGATGGAGCATGAACTTAACCCCTCCCAGCGAAATTTGCGGGCAACTTTATAAATACACTCGATCGGCATGACTCTATGTCGGGGCTCACAGTGTTGCAGGGCTGTGGAAAGGTGCCCATGATTCTGGTTCACTGGAAAAGTGACCGTCCCTTGCTCACGGATCGTCAATGGTCGCGCCAGGCCCGTGATCACGGTCGATCAATGACCCCTTAGGCCAACGGCTCGGGGCTTCGGAGAAGGTGTCGGAGTTTCGGCGGATGTGGCGGAGCGTCGGGAACATGAATTTTCCCCACCTTTTGCACGGACCGGCGCCGCTTTTCATCCGAAAGCTCGCAAATGACGATCTGTCTCTTCTCGGACGTCTAGAGGCGTACGAACCTTGACCCGGACGTAGCCTGCATCTGTGATGGAAGATCAGCGGGAAGCATAGCGAAGGGCATGCGTTGCCAGCACATGTTCTTGTCAATGACAGGAACTCGTCTTTGCAATCGTTTTCGGAGAGATTTCCGAGGATTGCGAGCCTTTCTTGCTGTGTATAAGTACCGTGTGCACGTACGACAGTGAACGTTGAGAAGCTCTCATTTATCTCGTTGGCCTTCCGCTCACCTAACCTCCTCGATTGACTTCCACGATGAAGTACTTTCCACGATGCCTGGTAACCTTGTCCTTATTCCTGAACCTGATCACCGAGTCACTTTGCTCGCCTCGACTCACGCCGCAGATGGGTTGGAACACGTAAGTTACAGGACTGCTCAGCTTGGCGCCCGAGAGCACTCACTGACTTGTTTGCGCATTCTAACAGATGGAACGCTTTCAAGTACAACGTGAGCTCGGAGCTGCTTGTTCAAACGGCAGATTTGCTGGTTTCAACGGGGCTAAAGGACGTCGGCTACACGAATCTTGTGCTCGACGATGGCTGGCAGGCGCTCAACCGAAGCGATGATGGCAGGCCACAGGCGAATGTCACCAAATTCCCCAACGGCATTCCACCCGTGGCTCAACATGCTCACAATGTCGGACTGCAGTTCGGGATTTACATGACCAACGGGTACGTGGACTCTGCTGTTCAACACTTTGATTTCCCGGGAGACTGACGGTCTGCTTTGCCTCACCCAATGGTTGAAATAGCATCAAAGGCTGTGGTCCCAAGGACCCCGGCTCCTGGGGCTACGAAGAGATTGACGCTCAGGAATTCGCCGACTGGGGAGTCGATTACCTCAAATACGACAACTGTGGGACCTTTGAGGCTGGCACGCATCCGCCGCAGAGTCGCTTCCGAGTGATGGGCAACGCACTTCGAGAGACGGGTCGAGACATTTTGTTTTCGCTCTGCCAGTGGGGCGATCAGTTCCCCTGGTTCTGGGCCGACCAGATCGCACACTCTTACCGCATCAGCGGCGACATCACCGCCACATTCTCCGACACGGGCAAGGACTGCGCATGCAAGACTGCCTACTGCCTCAACACTGGCTATGCCGGATGCTCGGTCATGACGATAATTCGCAAGATGCGCGAGATCTCGTACTTCCAGCATCCGGGGTCCTTTGCCGACATGGACATGCTCGAAATCGGAATCGCCAACATGACTCTTGACGAAGAACGGACTCACTTTTCGTTTTGGGCGGCGCTCAAGTCACCGCTCATCATTGGTGCAGACCTGCGTACGATCTCGAACGAGTCGCTCTCGGTGCTCAGGAACGAAAAGATGATCGCCGTGAACCAGGACAAGCTTGGTGCGGCAGTCGAGTACCTCGCCGACATCAGCAAGGAACGTGCATTCCAGACATGGGCAGGCCGGCTGAGCGGAAATCGAACCATCGTCCTGGCTTTCAACGAGCTCAACGACACGATCACTGTAGATGTACCCTTCTCCGCTGTTCCTGGTCTCGATAGCGAAAACAGGTACAAGCTCGAGGAGGTCTGGAGCGGATTCAGCGGCCACGTCAAGGGCAACATCTCTGCGACTCTTGCATCTCACGAGACCAAGGTGTTTATCCTAAAACAAGATTGATGGGGAGGACATGTGGTGCCAGAAATCTGGTTTACCACTTGCCGGTGTACATCCCGGTGTACATCCCGGTGTACATTCCGGTGTACATCCCACGATTCTGAGCTCTAGCAATGATGCCGAGACTAGGTCTTGCTGCACACACAACCTGCTGCACACACAGCCTCGAATGGTTCGAGTGGCTCTGGAAGCTCAAGAGCCCCCGCTTCCTCAACCAGCTTTCGCAAGCAAGATGTCTCGACAGAAGGGCACTCCCCAACCTACTCTATCGGAGGCACGCAGCTAAATGACAAAGTACGGCCCCGCACTAACACGAAATCACAGAGCGCTTGTGATTCCTTGGCCGGTCACAGTGTCTTTGAACAGTGGGATCGCTTCAACCAGGTCTAACGAGCCTGTGTGAATCCAGGGACGGAAAGAGTAGAGCCAGAGTGTACCGCTTGCTCGCAGATGCGTATGAGCTCAGACGGAGTGGCATAGAAGCAATGTCGAGGCACCATGGCAGTGGCGTTCTCATAGTTGCAACCGTGCTGCATCGAGTAGTTGACCCACTCCTGCTGTTCTAGATGCCAAGCTCGGAGCGTCTTTGAGTCTGCCTTGGGGAAGGGAAAGTCGCAGCTGTGATCCATTCGCGTTGCATACAGAGCCGAAGGAAAAAGGGAGCGTGCCGTCAAGATCAGTCTTGCTCTGCTGTGTCGTCGTTTTCGCGAAGATTAAAGAAGGAGAGTGCGCGACTTACTGCTGTGCAAAGAAGGCGAGGAGCATGTCGTGCAGCCCTCCGTTGGACAGAATCCGCACGAACTCTTCTGAATCGCTGTCGAGTCCACGGCCAACGCTGGTTCTCGGCAGCAAGCTAGCTGGAACGTTGTCTTTCAGCTCCATTTCCTCGACGAGCCTACAATTGGAGAGCTTTGGATCACCTTGGGAAAGGCTCACGCACACTCGTTGCGAGTAGAAAACAGCGTGAGGAAGCGATAAGCCTTGTGCTCCGTCAGCACTTGCAGCCTGCTGAGGTGAAACGGCTTCGATCAGCATGTCTCTTATTGATCGTGCCTTGAGACTACTGCACCACGTGGCGCGAAAGTATCTGTGACCGAAGGATGGTTGGCCAAGGACGGCACAGGTCAGCAAGAACCTGATGCACGGCTCGAGTGCAAAATGTGGCTTCTTACTGGATTGTATAGCCTTGCTCACTTATCGTCTTGAGCACGATAAAGATCGGTAGATTCAGTTGCTTCCACGCCAACAGCAAGGGCTGAATGGTCAAAAAGGTCGGGACGCAGCCAACCTCGCGAGGGCCTATGGAGAAGCTTTCGCCGACTTGCTGCCCGGACGAATTCGACAGCTGGCTCAGGTTGATGACCAGATCCGCCGAAGCGTGCGATGTCCAGCTTGAGAAGACAGATTGAAGTTGGCAATGTCAATTGATGCGCCAGAACTGTGCTCTTTAGACCAGGTGTTCACTGTACCTTTGCAATCTCTCGATCTCGGTGGTGGCCTTAGCTTCCACGGAAGCCTGAGCTTTACTGTGAGGGCATCTATGCGCGCCCTTGGCACTCTTGCACTGTAGCAGTGCGCCATCTCGTATGTTGAGTCTTTTGAGTGCATCCTGTGGAGCGGCAGATGCAAGCAACAAGGTTGAGTACGCTTTCTTGCGTTCTGGTCCTTGTGCATCAATGACGAGATCAAGCCTAACTTACGCTGATGCTGATGCGGTAAATGAGAGCATCATTTTTCTTGTTTGGCGAGATTTGTCTGTACCGTCCTATGGAAAAGCAGATGACAATCCATCTCACCACAAAGTTCCAGTCCTCGACCTGGAATCGCACCCTCGGCTGCTTGACCTCTGTCGTGTCGATCTTAAAGGTGATTGTGTCGGTGGGAGAGGTTGATGTTGCCAGGCTGGAGGAGCTTTCTCCTCCTTTGATCGAGCTGGCAGGCGATATCTGTGTGGAGAGCGATCGTGTCGACGCCGTTGATGGCGAAGAAGCCGCGCTGGCATCGTCATGCTTTGCAACGAGGTCTTTACAGCCCGCGTGCATGGGCCAAGTGCGCTCCTTGTATGACACCGAGTCATTTGCAAGAGTCGGTAGATGTGCTGCATCGTCTTGGCTGACAAGGGTCCGACGCAAGGATTTGGAAGGGGAAGCGGCTAGCCAAAGATCGGGCTGGCAGATCTGATCGAACCAGGTCCCGGCTCCAATGGCGTAGCAAAAGTCCTCGAGAATCATCGACTTGCGATCCAGGCCAGCGCCGATCTTGGCGACGTTGAGATTAAGGGTACAGAGCTGGTGGAACGTCTCTTTTGCGAATGTTGCTACCTCAAGCAAGCGGTCGAGGGTGCCTTGCAACTTTGCTTTGGTCTTGTGTGGGTCGGATCGAAAGGCACAAACAAGCAAGTGCAGTCCCGCTGGACGGATCTGACAGGCACAGTCGCCAGGATGGGCATCAAAGTCGAGCCAGGATGCCTTCGGCAAAGCAGCTGAACCAGCTGCGTGGAAAGCGAGTTCTTGAAAGGACGTGTTTGCTTCGATTGCGTCCCTTGAAGCGTGCAGAAGCTCGGCGGCTACGGCAGCATATTGCGTGAAGTTGACTTTGCGGCCCCATGCAGCGCTGTCTAGATGGAGCAACGTTGACATCAACATTCTCTCCCGGTGTCAAAGTGTCTCGGAGGAGGGCGATGGCAGGTATGGCGGGAAGTTACAAGACCCTGGCGCGTCCTCGGGGGGTCCTTGGCAGCGTGCGAGGAGTCCTGCATTTGGGCGTTCCAGCACCTGTCTCCTTATATGGACTCATCACAGCTTGGAACGGCTCGACAGCTCATGACATACGCTCGGAGGATGCTCGAAAAGAGCTTGACTTGTAGCGTAAACGCATCAAGGCTTGTTCCCAGAGAGACTGCTCCTTGAGCTTAATTCTTGACCGCTTTCGCTGTGGCTCGAGCGTAGCTCAGGCACCTCTGAGAACAAGGCAGACCAAGTCCAAGCAAGCTCTCGTACAGCTAGAAATCTGCACAACGGGTCCATTTGAGGCAACGCCACTCCTACGACAACCCTGCCGACATCGGTAACGCAGTCTGGCCGATGATTGCATGGGAACATGTACCTTCACGGAAATCATTCAGAGTGTTGGCACTGAAACGGGGTGAGTGGCGGCTTCGACCGGGACGACGGCCTTGGATCGGGTGGCAAGTCTTGAACAATAGACGTGGGGGAGCAGGCACAGGCTTCCGGCATCCTGTGCTGGGACATGCTGTGGCGCCTCAGCGCGCACTATTCGACGTCAGCCGCTGGATCATCGAAAGGGTGCCGAACGTGGTCAGGCCGTCAAAAGTGGACATTCGTCGCTTCGGCGGACGAACCTCATGCATGAGTGCGGCGGGTCGCATGGATTTGCAGCTGGCGCAGGTATGTGCGGGTGAGTGCAGGTACAAGACGGCAGCCGAGATTTTTCATGGTTAACCCAAACTTAGCCCAGGCCAGCAGGGTCGAGACAATTAAATCTGTAGCGTGGGAAAGCTCGCTTCCATCTCCAGGGAAGGGTTCCTGTGCCATATTTGATCGCTGTCAATGACTTCTCGTCGGGGCAAATGCTATGTGGTATGCAGCGAGACACGCCTCTCAAGTGGTTGGAGCAGATCTGGTGGCCCATCAAGAAAGGAGGCACAATGGTGCAATGGCGCAAACGGCACAACGCTGTTGCCTGTGTGAGTATATAGCACGGTGACGATCTGTCGGTCCTCGATTTGATTCGCAGAGTCGGTCCACAGCAAAGGCAATCTACTCACAGAATTCTGCGGCGCTGCCTCGTCTAGCTAGGCTCATACGTTCAGGAGCGAAGCGCTTCCTCGTCGCTCCCGCCCCGCCCCCCC